AAAAAAATTCATGAACTCTGTAGCTCAAAACTAGCTCACTCACATAATAGCTTCTGTGACCTTTGGGAAAGTTTTTAATCTCATGAAGCCTCATTCTTTTCAACTGTAGAGCTGAGATAATATGTATTTCTTAGGATTACTGGTAAGGATTAAGTGAGATAATGCTGGTAATGCACTTAGGATACTATCTGGTACAAAGTAAAGCACTCAAGCCATGACAGCAAATACCATTGCTGTGTCGAATACTGTGCTGTATATGGGGTAAGGAGGATAGAAAGACATGAATTTTTCACTCTAGTTAGGAAGACAGACATACATAAGGATGATTTTTAAATTATTTACATTTTTTATTATTAATAAAGAGCAAGAGAACATAACACAAATCCAATTCTTATGGTTACCTTTCTTTTCAGCATCAGGGAATGTTGAGTTATCACTAGTATCATAGGAAAATGAAATGCTGTGAATTGAATAAGTAGACACGTCCTTTGTAAAATTCACAATCCAGGAAAAACCAGATCCAAATTGCACCGCGATTCTGGAACCATTCTGATAATCCCCACAGATGCTTCCATTGTATGTTGCATTGCCAAGGTCTGAAATGGTTACAACTTTCTAAAAGAAAAAGCAGTTTGGTTTGCGGATGATTAGATAAAGAAGAGGTGGTATACATACAAGAACTGACAATTAAGTACGTGAACTTGTTGCAACAATGTTGCTAACCTTTTTTGATATCAGAGGTATTATTTATTATGAATTTGTACCAACTGAGCAGTTAGCCAAGTTTACTATTTGGAAGTGCTGAAAAGGCTGCATGAAAAAGTTAGACGATCTCAACTTTTTGCCAGCAATTCACGGCGCTTGCATCACAACAATACAGCAGTTCACACGGCACTGTCTGTGAGGGAGTTTTTAGCCAGTAAACAAATAACTGTACTGAAACACCCTCCCTACTCACCTGATCTGGCCGCCAATGACTTCTTTCTGTACCCAAAGATAAAGGAAATATTGAAAGGAAGNCCCCAATAAAAATCTTTAAAAAAAAAAAAAAGAAGTGTTGGTAGTTTCCCAGAACTGGTGAATGATAAATTATCAAATTTCCATGAAATCGTATAAAAATTTAAAAACCAATTTATAAAATTCAAGATTAGAACCCAGAAATCTAAATTCTATGTGTTTCTCTTGGATCATCAAAAGCTAAGGAGCTGATGATCAAATACTATTTGAGAGTTTAGAAGACTAGGTTTTACCAGCTGAAAACACTATGGGTAAAGCACTTTAAAAGACCATTCCACAACATGTACATCATCAACTTAAAATTGCAAGTTCCACAAGAGTAACAATTGCTATTATTTATAAAAACTTTACAGTCCAGTGTAAACTATAAGTCTTAGTTTTTTCACTGCATTAATTGATTTCAAGTTTTTTTCCAAAAGGTGCCAAAAATCCACAAAAAATAAAAAGTTGATATTTTGACTATTTTATGCATTTAATAACTTTTTAAGCTGCTTTGTACATAAATGACATTATTTTTTATTTTAAACCTTTGTTATATGGTAATAAATTTACCATTATATTGAATTTTAGCAAAAAATACTCAAAACATACTAAGTGGCACCAATTAGATTTAAGTATAGATAAATTAGAAATTCTTTTACAAAAAATTATTACAAAATGTTACACAATATGGCATATAAAACATCTTTTTTGTTAATAATGCAAGCCATAGGAAAACACATCCGAACATCACAGCAAAAGAGTTTATAAATGATTGCAGGTAACGACTTCAACAAAAGCTACCTGATATACTCTAATCTTAAATTAAGACCCAAGTACAGAAATATATACTTTAAGTAGTCACCTTTTTTGCTCACTGTGCCATTTTGGACAAAAGCTTGTACGTGAACATCCCAATAGTGTTGGACTACATCATTCATTTCTAAAGTTGACACACTATTGCATCTAAAGATGTAATTCAATGGGATTCCAAGTGCCACAGTGTCATTTACAGTAATCAGTCCTGTAAAACAAGATTAACAATAGCTGTTTTCAAGGAGGTAGCAGAAAAGTGATAACATAAATATATATTAGACTCTTCTCTTCTGTCTGCCTGTCCCACCCCATTCCCAAAGTGACAAAGGATATGACACATTCAGGGAACGGCAAATTTGCTATGGCTGAAACAGGGAGTAACAGGAAAGATGTGATGGGGGTTAGAAAGAGAAGACGAGTTGCATGCAGGTGGTCACACTGTGAAGCATCTTATATGATCTATGGATAGGTTAGTTGGGCTTTATTTTGTTAGCAATGGAAGGTTAGCTTCAGTTTTTTAAGCCGGAAATAAATAACATGCAAATAATTTATTTTAAGGAAGATGGCAAAATTGTAGAAGATAGGCAGGGGAGAAAACTTTTAAGGAGAGTCATTTAAGAGGGAAACCAGTTAGAATGCTGATGACCTGGTTAAGGTGAAAAGCAAGGAGGGGGTTGCCTAAACAGTACTTAATGACGAAACAAGGAAGAGAGACGGATTAATCAAGAATTCTATAGTAAATCCTTCTTTTTGTGCTACTATCCCAAAGTAAATTATAGTAACTAAAATGAGCTTTGGAAACTTCTTCCTGGATGGAATTTAAATACTATTCCATTTCATGAAATCTTCAGAATGTAAAAGCAATAAGTTATAGCCATTCTGTAGACTTTTTATTACAATTCCCATAGTAAAACTTCAAAAGACTGTGAATCACACTTATCCACCCAAATGGCTTAGTTTCTTTTGAAGTAGCAAGGAAGGAGGGCATTCAAGGTCCTTAATATAGGCTGTCTTTTGTGCCTCTCCAACATGTATCACAAAGCAGCCAATTAATGTTGTCTTGGCACCCCCTAACGGCCAAAGGAAAATTTTTTTAACCAATGAACTAGAACATTTTTTCTCCAAAACTGTTTCTCATCATTAACATAAGTGAACAGATACATGAACTCATTGTATATAGACAGACCTCAAAAACAAATGAGTGAAAAAACAAGTTGTAGATATATTGGAGTTGCACTATAAAACTACATCATTTTTAAGCTATGGATTGCTTATGAACATATATAGACATGTCTATTAGTCAAATATAAATACATAGACAGGAACACTACACTCCAAATTCATGAGAGTAGTTGTCTCTCAGGAGGCAGGAAGGAAAATGGCTTTAGGGAGTGGGTACAAAGGAAATCTCATGTGTATCTGTAATGTTTTCTTTTAAAAGATAAGGCAAATATGAAAACAATGGCATTTACTAATTCTGGGTAATGGGTGCCATGTGGCTCTGTTAATTATTCTCTGTACTTTTCTGTATTTTAATCATGAAAAATTTTTTAAAAGACAGCAGTTTCAAAGTCACTTCAATGACCAGATGCTTAAAAATACTAAATTATTTCAAAACCATCAAAATTCCATTTAAAGAAGTCCTTTTAGATTCTAAATATTTCAAATATTACAGATGCTAGTAATAAAACACTGCATCCTCCCTTGTTTAAAATAAAAGGAGGGAGCGATAGGTGATAACATTATAAGAGTTCATCAAATATGTCAGATTAAATCCCACCTCCTTTCCCTGCTACCTTCTTTTTTTTTTTTTTTAAGTTGAGCCATCCTGCCACCTGTTGGCAGCTCAGCGGCTGCTCAGCTCTGGCTGGGCATCGAACCGCTGTTGCTCAGAGCTCAAACTCTTGAGTGAGCTCTTAACCAACTGAGCCACTCGGCCAGCCCTCCCTGCTACCTTCTTGATTCAGGCACTCATTACATCTCCCTTAATTACTTATAACAGCCTCTTAAGCTGGCCTCTGACTGCAGTCTCCTTACTTCCAAATTAATCCTGCAGAACATTCTTTATATCCTATTTTGTACTGTTGTTATATCATTCTCCTGCTTAAAACCCTAAAATGGTCCCCCCCCCAGGGCCTACCCCATCAAGCTAAATGCCTTTCCTTGGTTTCCAATGGTCCCTATAATTTCGACCAACTGCCACCTAGCCAACCTGATTTTCCTTCCGCTACACACATAGCCTCTATTTTAATCAGACAGCTCTCCAATTACTGCTATTACACATATCAGGCTTGCCCCTGCTGGAAATACTCTGCTCAAAATTCTCTGCTTCCTCAAATTCTACCATTAGCTGAGTTTCAGCTCAGGTCCTACTTCTCTACCCAGCTTTTCACTCCTCCAATGCATGCTGACCTCTCCTTTCTCTCTGCTCCTCATCAGGAATCCTTGTGAGAATAGTTAAATCCAGTCTCCTAACCACAGGCATGCACAGATGGGCTCCAGGGTTATGTACCATATAGAAAGTTCACTCTATCCTTTGATAGAGAAGGTCTAGAGCTTCCTTCACATTATCAGAAAAGAGTATGAACCCTCCACCCCCTAAACACAAACAACAACAAGTTCACACGGATCTCAATGCTTTCCGATTTTTCCATACAACTTGGGAAAACAATTTTGCTTTGTCTCTCCAACTAGTCTTTAAGCTCCTTGAAAGAGAGACGCAAATCTTATACTAGTTCTGAAAGACAGTGTTAGGGCACAAACCTAAATATCTAAGCTATCCCATAACAAACTTGCTTTAGTTATCCTCTCAATCTAAGAGGTTAGTAAAAAGAAAACTAGGATTTGATTTCTAAGTCACAGTCTGCGATACCTCCCAAGTTTTATATGAACTCATTCACTTCTGGATCTTTAAAATATGATCTTTTGATATCCACATAGCCAAATGAGTCATTTATCCCCAGGTCTAGGCAACTGAAGCCCATCAACCTGTTTCTGGGGTCAGAATGAAATGATACCAGTGAGAAATGCTAAGGTACTACAAACACCATGTTAACTCAATCTCAATGGAGGGGGAAGAAAGGAGAGAATTATATCCCTAACAAAATGGAACTCTCCATTATCCATGCCTTCAAAATATTTTAATACATATTTCAGTTCTGGTAGCTACAAGAGTGACCTAATTGCCAATGCGTTCACAAGTTCATTTTGACCTGAAATTATCTCATAATAGCAGCAAATGTTAACTTCAGTCATTTTACTTTTAATTAATCGTCATTTACTTTTCAGTCAAAATCTTATCTAAATGGTAAAATGATTTGAAGAAGAAACATTCTGTTGGTCTCAGGTTACTAAACTTGCACACATTTAAAATAATTATTAGTAAAGAATTTGCTGATTGACTCAACATTTGTTGAGTGCCCACTATTGAATGAAATAAGTAGTAATATAGTTAAATTCATGAACTATGGGGCCGGCT